CCACAGAACTGGGGTACAGGTCAGAGGTTTGGTGGGCGAGAGGATTCACCGGAGACAGAGTGGGGAGAAGAACAGGCAGCTGTACTGAAATACTCTGCTGAGGGAGCAGCGGACAGAACAGGAGAGGTCTTGCCACACCATGTGGGTAATTCCTTGTCAGGGGATCTTACTGGAGCTGCAGCAGCTTCAGAGAGCTTCATAATGTGGTGCTTTAACTCGTTGCGCCACCAGGGAGAGCCCTGAACAACTCTTTTAATGAGCAGTATGAGATTTGAATAGATGCCACATTTGGGGGGGAGGGGAGGGACCATTTGAGGAATTAAGTGTCTGGCTAGAACAGCATTAAAAATACTGACATTGGCCCTCCCTGGTTGTGCAGCAGGTCAAAGCACAGCACTGAGAATCTAGAGCCTCTTCTGCATGAGTTCGATTCCCGCCTGCCCCAGACGTGACCACATGGCGTGGCAGACCTCTCCTGACCCGCCCTCTGCTTCCCTCAGCAGTGTACCTCGTTAATCTGCCTGTTCTGTTCCCCACTCCGTCTCCGGCGAAGCCCCCCACCGCCCCTGAGCCTCTGGCCTGCACCCCAGCTCTCCATGCACAAACAAATAAATCTCTAAAAAAAATACTGTCAGTCAGTATTTTTTAACAGAAGATATTTTCAAAATGATGTACTAGATTTTTCTGAAGATTATTAGCAAGATGCATAGACATGGGCATTCAAAAAAGAGGTTATTTAATACTACTTCTTGTCTCAGAGATTGCTAGCAAGTAGAGGTATGTTCTTCTTTTGGCCTAGGATCCTTTCTGGTGAAGTTCTTCATCCATGGAGTTCAGGGAATACAATTGGGCAAAAGCAGCCAAATTGAAACTTGAATTTTTGGAAAGGGTGTGGTGGTAGGGAGCTACTGGTTTGTTTTTGTACTGGCCCTCAGAATTACCACATCATCAGCATATTGCAGCTTTTATAGATTAAAGTGGCCACAGTTTTAGACACCTTAATCTATATTGTAAAGGTGTACTCAAGGAGTGTAGAGAAAAGTTTTGAAGGTGAAAAACAAAGGGATTTATATCTGCTGGTACAGAAAGATCAAATTGATAAATCTGAGTATACTGCAGAATTTTCACTTCCTCAACTCCCTACTTTCATTCAAGTTTCTTGATGTAATAGAATTTTTATTAAGTGTTTATTATTAGCTAGATTATCTAACAGGGAAATAAGCATCAGTGTTTAGTGGTTGATATAACCTCAGACATTAAAAAAAATTAATTATGCACACTAGAACTGGGGTACAGGCCAGAGGTGCAGCAGCAGGGGAGTGTGAGATGATACTCCAGAGACAAAGTGGGAGGCAGAACAGACGGACTGAAATACACTGCTAAGGGGAGCAGCAGGCGGGGCAGGAGAGGTCTGCTGTGTCATGTGAGTCACCCCACTTGCCAGGGATCAAACTCATGCTGCAGTGGCTGTGGACAGCTGCAATGGCTGTGGACAGCTTCATAGTGCTGTGCTTTAACCTGTTGCACCACCAGGGAGGGTCCAACCTCAGACTTTTCATTGCCTTTTGCGTAGTGATCAAAAGCTGACTTGGAGCTAGATGGCCTAAGTTCACATCTACTGAATTATTCGTTCAGATTGTTTCAGGACCTGCTCCTTATTAGTTGTAAGATTTTGGGCAAACTATTTGACCTGCTGGTGTTGCAGTCTCTCATATGAAAACAGGAAAATGATAATATTTAACTCATAAGATCATGAGAATAAAATAACTAAAATGTATGATATACAGACTGTACCTGGCACACACTAAAGGTTTTACCACCTACTAAATTAGAATGTGTTTAACCCTATCATTTTAGTTAGGATAATTCACAGTGGAAATCCACCAAACACTCGCCCTACATAGGATCTATATTTGGAGAATGACCTGCTAACTCTAAGTAAAATTGTATATAAAACATACCGTTCTAAATTTCTAATTTATGTGATTTTAAAACAAAACAAATTACTATACATTTGAATAATGGTAACTGACATTTACTGAGCCTATATGCTATCCCAGGATTTGTTGTTTTTTCCCAACTTATCTAATTACTGTTTTAGAGGGCCAGGGCTAGGGTTTATACTCGGGCCTTCTGACCCCAGAGTCCAGCCTATTTCTTGCATTCTATCTTTCATGCAAATATATTCTGTGCATCAGATCAGCTTGTTGTTTTTTTACTTCATTTATGCAAACATAAATTAAATGGAAAATATTAGTTAAGATTAATTTTAAAAAAGATTTATTTATTTATGCATACAGAACTGGGGTACAGGCCAGAGGCACAGGTGTAGTGAGAGGATTCACCAGAGACAGAGTGGGGAGCAGAATAAGCAGATAGAGAAGTACACTGCTGAGGGGAGCAGCAGGTGGGTCAGGAGAGGTCTGCCGCGCTTTGTGGGTCAGCTCTGGGGCTGGGATTGAACTCGTGCTAAAGTGGCTTTAGCTTTTTAGTGCTGTGCTTTAACCTGCTGCGCCACCAGGGAGGGCCCTTAGATTAATTTTTTTTTAAAGATTTATTTATTCATACAGAACTGGGGTACAGGCCAGAGATGTGGAGAGTGAGAGAATTCACCAGGGACAGAATGGGGAGCAGAGCAGGCAGATCAACGAAGTACATTGCTGAGGGGAGCAGTGGGCTGGTCAGGAGAGGTCTGCCGCGCCATGTGGTCACCTCCGGGACAGGTGGGAATCGAACTCATGCGGAAGCGGCTTAAGCTTCTTAGTACAGTGCTTTAACCTGCTGCGCCACCAGGGAGGGCCTAGATTAATTTTTTAAAAATCATTTCATCATAAAGAAATTGCATTTTCTGTTCTAGAAAAGAGTTGCTTCTGGTGTTTCATTTTAGTCATGTAAATGCTGATCCTTTTGTTCTGTAGGAGTATAAGATTTTTATTTCATCAAGGCATACTGATGCATGTGTTAATTTATCAAAACTGTTTTCACTTATATTTCATGTACATATTTTCAAGGTACTGTTTAAGTAATGTCACTTTGCACACTTTGATTAAAGCTGTATCAAACAACCTATGAAATGCATGATTTGTAGAATTTGAAAATGGAGAACACTGTGACAAATCATGCTTTTTAGGTTCTTTGGTGGATAAGGACAGATCCGTCTAAAAGTAATCACTTTAGTTGCTCTGCTTTGTTGGTGCTAATTGGTGCTAATTTCTGTGTCACCTTTCAAAGAAAACTGGGCAAAACTAATTTGCCACTAGATGGAGCCCTAACTTTGGGTAGAAATAAATTCAGTACTGTGTGAACATTAAATCACAGTCATATCATGTTGGAGACCTCTGGTATTTGAGGCCCTCAGCTCTTAATTGTAGAATGAATCTTTGTTCTTTGCTTGACCTGCAGAGTGACATCACTCCCTTTCTTCCTGTGTGCTAACTTTGACACAAGCCAGATGGCCATGGCCATTGGTAGGCGCACAGGCTGCCTGGTACAGCAGTTGAAGAAACAGAATAGGAAGACGTTTTATAGTCAGCTGCAGGAGCACAATGGGCTGCAGCTTGGCTAAGTAATTACATTTACCGTGCACACTTTATTCCTCACAGAAAAGGTCACAAGGAAGAAAATACATTTTTATTTATAGTGTTGTGAGGTATGGACCTTTGATCTTTTATTAGTCAGTAGTCTGCTCCAAAGGAATGTTCTCTTTCCCTTGCTCTGCAGTCACTCGTGGAAATGACATGTTTATTTATGTTTAATGGTTCTTTCAGACTGTGCATTGTGATACTTACCTCCCCTCTTCCTCCCTTTTGTCTCTTAGTTAATAACACAAAAATGGTTTAGTTTCCTAGTGAGTTTAGTTTAGAGTCATAGTTCAGGCATGTTAATACAAGCAGATTTCTGTCAGAGGTACTCCAGAATGATTTGGTAAAACATATTACTGTTTACTATGTGTTTGTTCTTCAAGGAGGTCAGAAGAGACTAGGAACAGACTTCTATTTTGAGGGAGATGGGGACCAGGAAGTGAGTCCATTTTTTGGATTTATAATGCTAATTTTGAACAAAATGTTAAAAGTCAGTATTACTCTACTATTTCTATCTTCGCTTGAATTTAATGTGTATCATTTGAAAGATTATATGAAGTATTGCAGAAAATGGGAATGAACTTTTCTCTGAAGTTTAATATTCATACAATTTTCATATTCCTGCTCATAATTCATTTCCAAAAATTTAAAAAATATTTTTTTGTTTAAAGGGCTAGTTTGTAAATATTATTACAGAATAATCTAGAGATTATAAATCATAAAATCAAATGAAAAGCTATATTCTTTGCTTTTTTTCAAATTTAACAGTTCCTAAAGTAACATCTCCTATCCTTAAGTTGTTGACTTTCTGTTTTAAAACAAATGAAACTTATTTGTAGTACTTTAATCTGACAGTATTTTACAGTCTTTCCATGGACCAAGATTCGCAAATTGTTGGTAGAGAACAGTGTGGTATAAGAAAGAAAGGGCTTTGCATTCAAATTTAATATATCTGTATCCTTTCGAACTGGTTATTTGCTGTGCTCAAAGGACCTTGGACCTTTGAGTCCATTTCCTCACCTGTGTATTCAGGGGATAAAACCTACCTCCTAGGTTTATTAGAAGAATTAAGTGATACAATGTGTATATTAGGCCCCAAATAATTACTGTCACATGATACCTAACTCAATAAACCCTTGTTCCTGTCAACTGTTTTAAACTTCATATCTTTTCTCAACTTCTTGCAAAATGTGTTCACAGATTACATTGCTATTACATGTGTGTATTTTATTAGTAAAATATAAATAAGTTTGGGTTGAAAGTAAGCCTGCCATCTGACAAATAGACACTTGAGATTTATTAACACTGTGTGTGTACAGTTCCAGATAAAGCTGTAGCCATCAATTGTGCAATGAATGCCTTTAATCTTTGTGATGTTTTAATTTGTTTTTGTTTTCTTTTTTCTCCTACTTAGCTCTTGTCCCTGTTTTTTGCCTCTCGTTTTATTGGTGAAGATATCACAGTGATGTCTGCATTCAACCTGCTGCATTTGGTGACAAAGAGCCAGCCAGTAGCCCTCCGAGCCTGTGGGCTTCCCTCAGGTTGCTACTTCTTGTACTCTATACCTAATGAGGGCGCTGGTCCGGGTGGGTGTTTCTGCTGCAGGAAATGATACACCATAATGCTTTGCTAAATTTTGTTTTCTTTGATTTGGAACCTAACTTGAAGATGGAAATTGGTTTGAAGTCACCTCCTTACTTTTAGAAACATTAATTTCCACAACCTTAAAGACTTTGGAAACATTGTCCAGTTTTCTGGCTCAGTGTATAATTGTCACTAATATTTCATGATCTCTTCTTGTTTTGTAATGCCTACTACATATTTGAAAATCATAATGTTCATGAAAGTCTGGTAGTCTTATAAGAAACTGTCCCACATCACAAAAAGGATAACTAAAAATGCTTTTAATTTCTCATGTGACTATTCATTTAGAGAAAAAAAAATCAACAGCTTTAATATAGTAGTGTAGCTTATTTATTGCAGTTAAAAAGAAAAGTATTTTATTTAACAGTGATGGAAATATAATTGACCCTTGAATTACATAGGTTTGAGCTGCATTGCGTCCATTTATGTGTCAACTTTTTTTTTAACAAATATGATAAAAAGTTACACTATCATTAAATCCAGTACTGTACTATAAAAGCTATTTTCCCTTATTTTTCTTAATTGTATTTTGTCTATTTTATTGTAAGTATACAGCATACAATATCTATAGAATACAACATATGTGGTTAATAGGCTATGTTATAGGTAGGCTTCTTAGTCAGTAGCACAGTATTGGTAGTTAACTTTTTGGGGAGATAGAAGTTCTACATGGATTTTCAACTATGCATTGTGCAGGTGTTACACCTAAACTCTTGTGTTGTTCAAGGGTCTTATACAAACAACTGATATACTATGTGTCAAGTAGTTCTTAAGTTAGAACCACCACACATTAAAAAATGTGATTTTAAGCATTTAGTTTAGTTTAGATTTTAAGCATATAGTATAGTATTTTAATTTTATATAAAAATCCCGATGTGATCGATGTGATACTTTCTGTGATTATTGTCAATATTATTTATAGCTTTATTAATGTACGTAACTCCATTCCTGTATTGTATAGTGAAATTAATTCCAATGTGTCAGGCGTTGGGATTCAGTATTAACTGTGGTGCCAGGCATTTGTGAAGCAGTGAGTGGTAAACAAGATTAAGTTGATTTCTGTAATCAGTATGATGTCAGATGGAACTTTGTGAGAACCATTGAACCAGGTGAAAAGACAAGTTGGAAGTATTTTTGCAGTGGGGTGTCAGGGTTCCCTGGGGAGAATGGGTCCAAGTCTTTGCTTAGGGGGAGGAAATTCTGGAAGGGGAGGGAAGGTCTCTGAACTTAAGGAGGGGTCCACAGAAGATACAGTTCTATAACTGAATTTCAGTCTATAAGCAGCAGCTGGACACCCCAAGAGGAAGGGCAAAGCACGGAGATTGAAGGAGCAAGGTATTTTTAGAGAAATGCAAGTTTTTGTTTTGTTTTTTTTAAGATTTATTTATTTATTCATACAGAACTGGGGTATAGGCCAGAGGCTCAGGGGCGGTGAGAGGCTTCACCAGAGACAGAGTGGGGAGCAGAACAGGCAGATCTATGAAGTACACTGCTGACGGGAGCAGCGAGCGGGTCAGGAGAGGTCTGCCACGCCATGTGGTCACCTCTGGGGCAGGCGGGAATCGAACTCATGCGGAAGTGGCTTTAGCTTCTCAGTGCTGTGCTTTAACCCGCTGCGCCACCAGGGAGGGCCGAAATGCAAGTTTTTAATATGACTAACTTGAGTAGATGAAGGCAAGTAGAAAAGCTGAAGGTAGGCAAACTTGATGAAATATTTCATATGATGTTTTAAAGAAGTTCAATCTCAGGGTAGGACTGATGAGGCAATAAGTTGACTTGAATTGCATTGTATAAGGTTTATTGATTATATGATGGAAGGTCAGTGCTGGTTCTAGATAGGCTGTGAAGCTGCTGGAGTGGCAACTAAGTTTGGACGGAGGATTGGACATTTGTCATAAAGCTGTATTTGATTAGTAAACATGCTATAAAAATAGATTTTATGTTTATTTGTAGTGACTTGAGATGCTAATGAAGTTTAATTAATGTGTGGAGGGCCCAACTACTCTTCTCAATACCGGTGCTTTCCTCACTCCACCATTCCCCTGTAGTGCCACCAGACTATGTTGGCTGGGTTTGCAGCTGGAGGACTCTTGTAGTGCTGAGAACCTTAACAGTTGTCATCATTACAGTAGATTTAGATAAAAGGGAATGGATGAACCAGAATGAGATTCCGGTTGTAGAACTGACAATGTTTATCTGTTGAATTACGTATGAGGGACAATAGCCAGGATAGTCCTTGTATCATATGGAACTTCTTCATAGCCATATTTCCTATAACAGTTGTCTTGTTCATATATAACCATGTTTTCCTTTGGAAAAAAAGCCCTAATGTGTGACGACACCAGCAAATTCTTTTAATAAATTTGCTCTTTTTTGAAGAGGCTAAGTAATTTTAGAAACAATGTATTAATTAACAGGGCATTCCTTGAGACATGACAATCGTGAATTAAAAGGTTTCACAAAATTGTTTAATTGAAATATGTCTTTAAATTTTGATAAACACATGACCCAAAGAAAAATCCACCAGTGCTGATCATTTTTAAGGAGCAATCATTATAGTACAGCTCTTAAGCATGCCAGTTCTAGAGTTTTGACTGTATTTGAAATTGAACTGTCATTTAACTGGCCATGTAACTTGGCATTCTTGGGGATAGAATAGTACTATGGGTATAGAATCGTACTCATCCAGAAAAAGTTCCTGTGAGAAAGAAATAGATTAGGATGTGAAAAGTACTTATATCAGTGGCTGCCATGTAGTAAACACCATTTGTAAATGCTCATTAATTTCACCAAATATATCTGCATCTACATATTTATTTTTGTATTTTTCTAGTACAATAGATTTTTAAAAGCATAAATATGTACATATTTAACTATTTCTAACTTAAAAAAATTATTTATGCATACAGAACTGGGGTACAGACCAGAGGTGCAGGGGCAGTGAGAAGATTCACCAGAGATAAAGTGGGGAGCAGAACAAGCACATCGAGAAGTACACTGCTGAGGGGAGCAGTGGGTGAGACAGGAGAAGTCTGTGCCATGTGGGTCGCCTCCAGGGCTGGGGTAGAACTTGCACTGAAGCCATTGAGGTTTGCTTGCATTGCTGTGTCCCAAACGACTGCACCACCAGGGAGGGCCCTATTTCTAACTTTTAAAAAAACTTTTACTTTTTACTTTACTAGGAACCACAGATATACTTTGATAAATAGCCATCTGAATTTGTTGTTTTGATTCCTTTATTTTACATATATGTCTGCTAACCCACAATTCAAGTCCTGTAAATATACAGCACATTTTTTAAATTCTTATTTTTTGTATTGATGGAAGTTCAGAAAAGTTCTCTTTCTTGGGGCATGTAAGCCCATTTTGGTTTGATAAATGAAATGACTAGATAAATATTACATAATTCCTTGGCCTTTTAAGCATCCCTTACTCTTTAAAGTGTTAATGAAAGTCAGTCTTCCAGTTTCTACATATTTTATAAATTAAATCTTAATATTTGATATCTATTTCCTTAATTGAATTTTACCCCTAGTAATAGAGAAATGTTAAAGATGTAACATTAACTGAAAAAAAAAATTGTGAAACAAACCATTTAAAGCTTGAACTCTAAAGATGAAATTGAAGTGAGGTAATAATCCTTATTACCTCATACAAGTAGAGGGGAAAGAGTCCAAAATTGGAAATATAGGAAATTAATGAGAAGGTTTGAAGCCTTGCTTTACTTTGCTGTTTCTTGATATAAATCCATTACTTTTTGCTCCCTAGCTAGTATCCTACTAACTAGGTATTTATTCAATGCAAAATAATTCCAGAACTAAAAAAAAAAAAAAATTGGAACAGGTTCTAGAAGGATCTTAATGTTGATTATAACTGGATTGACTTATATGAAGGCCATTTCTCAAAAGTGATGTATCATTTTTCAGCTTTGACTTCATTCTTATTTTTTAAATAAAATACCACTTTAATTTAGAACCTATTAAGTGCATCTGAGTTATGGTTCACTCTTGTTCATAATTAAAGGTATTTATTTTTCCTCTCAGAATTTCTTTTTAATTTTCCATAACAGTTTCTTTTATGTATTAAAGAGAGCACTGGCTTAGGAGTCAGAGAACTCCTAACTCAAGGTCATTAACTTGTTTGACCTTGAACATATCAGCAAATCTCTGTAATTCACACTCCCTTTACCTATAAGATTAAGTATTTGATTTACATAATCTGTTCAGTTTTGAAATTCTGTGATTTTATTACCTGTAATTTGTTTTCAATTTTGGCTTTGACTCAATCAAATCTTAAAACTCAGTACTAATTAATGTCTTGGAATTTACAAAAAACCTTCTAGGTTGTAGTGTAATTAATGTCTTGGAATTTACAAAAAAATCTAGGTTGTAGTGGGAGGACAGAAATATTTTCCATATATGAACATTAGAATTCCTTCCCTCTAAATCGCCTGAAGTCTTATCTGAGGAGGGATTAGGAAGCACAATTTTATACATAGTTTCAGAGGTTGATAAAAATTATGTCTAGTTGTAGTGTAGACTAGATACCATGGTAGCTTTCCGCCAAGTAAGAGTATTTGTATAAACAGCTGTAATTATTGTTAAACTTTCCTCTAGCATCACACACATAAAATATGGATGTTACTGCCACTTGACTGTAGTGGTATATTAACACTGTTCATGAACTGAAGAGCCACATGGCTGTTAGGTGGTTTGTAAAATACTGTATCATAATATTTAAATGTAGAAAATAGAAGATTTAAAGGCAGATATTTTGCAAATGGTGTTTCTAAGTCATAGAATATTATGTTTTACTAGAACCCTCGATGCATCAGGGATTATGGCTCCAGAGCTTAACACAGTGCCTGGCACTAGATAAATATTTGTTAAATGAATGG